CTACATACCTAAGTTCAATAACGATTCCAAACATACGTGTGAAATTTGTGTTGAAACAAAATTGACAAGGTCATCGTTTAAATCAATTGAACGGACCACAGAACCACTAGATTTAGTTCACAGCGACGTGTGTGATCTAAAACTTGTACAAACAAGAGGTAGCAACAAATATTTTATTACTTTTGTCGACGATAGCACAAAATACTGTTATGTATATCTACTTAAAAGTAAGGATGAAGCTATAGAGAAATTTATTCTCTATAAGAATGAAGTTGAGAATCAACTTAATAAGAAAATTAAGATGCTGCGAAGTGATCAAGGTAATGAGTATGAAGCACCATTTGCTGAATTCTGTGCACAACACGAAATCATACATGAAACCACTGCCCCTTATTCACCACAACAAAATGGTGTTGCTGAACGGAAAAATCGTACCTTAAAAGAGATGATGAATGCAATGCTCGTAAGTTCTGGGTTATCTCAGAACATGTGGGGGGAAAGTTGTGTTATCGGCAAATTACCTTTTAAATAAGATGCCCCGAAAGAAATCGGGAAAGATCCCTTATGAGTTATGGAAAGGAAGAATGTCTACCTATAAACACTTGCGAGTGTGGAGGTGTCTTGCTAAAGTAGCTGTTCCACCACCAAAGAAGGTAAAGATAGGCCCGAAAATTATAGACTGTGTCTTCATTGGCTATGTACATAATAGCAGTGCGTATCGCTTTCTTGTGTATGATTCAAAAATTCCAAACATACACAAAACACGATAATGGAATCAATGAATGCTACATTCTTTAAACAAGTATTTCCATACAGATCCAAAGAGGAAGCAAGCTCCTTTAAACGAACATATGAGATAATGACTGAAAATAGTCAGAACGAAGAATTAGAAGAGGAGACTTAGGTTAGACACAGCAAACGGGAAAGGACAGAAAAATATTATGGTTCTGATTTTCTAACCTATATGTTAGAAAGTGAACCTCAAAGTTATCAAGAAGCAGTGAATTCCTCGGAAGGACCTCAATGGAAAGAAGCCATTGAAAGTGAAATAGATTCCATACTACAAAATCATACATAGGAGCTAGTGGATCTTCCTCTTGGAAGCAAACCACTAGGCTACAAAATGGATTTTCAAAAGAAAAATGAAAGCAAATGGAACTATCGAGAAGTATAAAACCAGATTAGTAATTAAAGGCTACAAACAAAGGGAATGCCTTGATTACTTTGATACGTATTTTCCAGTAACGAGAATAACATTTATTAGGATGATACTTGCGATTGCCGCTTTGCGAAATTTTGAAATACATCAAATGGATGTTAAAACTGCATTTCTAAATGGAGATCTAGAAGAAGAAATTTACATGGAACAACCTGAGGGGTTTTCGTGACCAGGACAGAAAAAGAAAGTCTGTAAACTAGTGAAGTCACTATATGGCTTGAAACAAGCACCAAAACAATGGCATGAAAAATTTGACAATGTCATGATTGAGAGTGGATTTAAAATCAATGAATGTGACAAATGTGTTTACGTCAAAGACATTAAAGATGGATATGTCATCTTATGTCTTTACGTTGACGACATGCTTATTGTTAGTAGTGACAATAAGATGATTGAATCAACTAAAAATATGTTAAACTCGAGATTTGACATAAAAGATATGGGTTTACCTGATGTTATACTTGGAGTGAAAATCTCAAGAACATCAAATGGGCTTGTTCTAAGTCAGTCATATTATGTGGACAAAATTTTAGGAAAATTCCATAAGGATGATACTGAACACCAATAGATACGAGTCAACATCTGTCTAAAAATAAAGGAGAAAGTATCTCAAGTAGAATACTCGAAAGTTATCGGAAGTCTAATGTACTTAATGAGTTATACTGGACCAGACATAACCTACACAGTCAATAAACTGAGTAAATACACGAGTAATCCAGGAGCTGATCACTGGAAAGGAATTGTAAGAGTACTAAAGTACTTAAAATATACTCGTAACTATGGACTACATTATACTAGATATTCAGCAGTCGTTGAAGGATATAGTGATACTAATTGGATATCTAATATAAAAAACTCAGAAATCCACCAGTGAATATGTGTTCACATTGGGTAGTGCTGCCATATCGTGGAAATCCTCGAAGCAAATGGTTATAGCCAGATCTACGATGGAATATGAGTTTATAGCTCTAGATAAATGTGGTGAAGAGGTTGAATGGTTGTACAACTTTTTAGAGGATATTTCAAGATAGTCAAAACCTGTGCCAACAATTTGTATATATTGTGACAGTCAATCGAGAAACTCTCAACTGGAGTTATCACTATTGACCATATAAGGTCAAAAGATAACATTACGGATCGGCTAACCAAAGGCTTAAATAGAGAGTTAGTTATGAAATCATCGAAAGGAATGTGACTTAAGCCCTTGAAAGAATAAGTCATTACAAAGGAAAACCCAACCTAGTTGACTGGAGATCCCAAGATCTAGGTTCAATGGGAAAACCTAGCTGTAAAGACTTGATAAAATCACTGTGAGGGTATTACCTCATGTCCATTCCTATGATGTAATACTGATGCCCATAAGGTTGAAGGTTAAGCAATAGGCTTTTAATGATTATTATGCGTCGTAAATCGAGCCAAGTGATGTGGGTTACTTATAATAAGAAATCACCTATGAGAGAGAGAAGTGGAGTCGCTTTTAAGAGAATTGTGTGGGGCTCAATTCTTAAGAACTCTCACAGAACCAGGCATATGTTCATGGTCAAAACGAATATAACAATGAGAACTGGATTGTTTTAGGAAGAATTCTGTGTGAGGTATATCATCGTTTACACAAACGACAGAACAGTTCAAGGACATCGCATCTACTGGTCAGCCAGTAAAGTAAATATACTTTCACAAGGGAAGGTTCAATGGGTAACACCTACCTATCCTATGTAGGATTCAACCGCTGAACTTTATCACCAAGTCTTGTGTCTCACGTTTCGTGTCTCTCCCAATTTTCATTCATGTGGGGGATTGTTGGAAAAAAATTGAGTGAGCAGCTCACTTTTGGCACAATTTTCGATGGGACCAGTTGGTCCAATGTGGAATATCAAAGTTGATATGTGTTCTCCTCCGTGAGAACATCGATTTCATGTATTTATTTGCCAAAAATGAAGCTTGGGTGAATCGAAAATTGAAGCTCAAAGTTGGTCATTGGAAGTTGGTTTTGTGTGAAAAATGAATTTATCCCACATAAGAAAACTAAGGAAACTCAAACCACTTTATATATGGTTATGTTTTGGAGATGTGTAATCATATGTAGTATAGAGGCTCTTTCCACGTGCGCGCGCAAATCATGAACCGAAATGGCCTTCGGACCTTGAACTTGAGTGCTGGCGCAACCTGAGCACACGAATGTCGAATCGAACAAGGCAAAAATAGCCTCATCGGAGAGCCCACGTTTTGCCAATTTTATTTTTTTTGCCTTCTCCAATGACTTTTGAGTTTCTAAACTGAAAAAACTTCAATGGACTCCCAATGGTTAGTGTTAATGGGAAGTAACTCCAATGGTCACAATATTAATGGGCAATATGCCTATAAAAAGGTTCATTCTCTAGCAATCTAACACACTCGAAAATCTCACCTACATTCCTGCATACAAAATTTCTTATTTTTTGCATTCCTTGTCTAGTAAGGTCTTGTTCTTGTGATAATATTGTTCAGATACTAGATCAGTTATCCAAAGTAGGATCGCGGTGCTCGAATTCTGCTTATTATCGTTGTATAGACAGTCGCTCGAACTGAACCTCCAGTACCTATGGTAATAGGGCGAAACTGTCTTAAGGAAACTGTGCACGCACAGGCATCGGTTTGAAATCTGCTGCAGTTTGTGTTTCCTTTCTACAGATTATTTTCGCATTACTATTTAATTCACGCAGTTTTTAGTTCCATAGTATGCAGCTTTCAGATTCATCGTTTACAGTTTTAGCTTGCAGTTAACTTATATTTCTGATTTTGTGTTGCTAAACATTTTTTTCAGCCGTTGGAAAATTTTGAAACAGAATTTTTTTTTTTTTTTATAAATTGAAATCGTTTGCCTTGTGGTTATTAATTTCAATAGTCGGCTATTGCAATTAAATAAAACTTATACAATTGATTTCATCCACTAACGACTTATTTTCCTACATAGTCAACTGCAGAAACCTCAAGAATCAGAGGCAAATTCAAAAACTATTCTACAATCGTCTGCATGGGGAGTTCTTCCGGAACTCGAGGTTGCAGAGAAGCTTGGAAGCTGTGTAATTGATTTTCAAATATAGTTAGTTAATAGCTGGATAGGCCTTAATGGATGACAAATTTAATTCAAACAAAAAGATGAAATCTTGCTACATGTATATTATGGTGCACACTTTAATTTATATTTTGTCACGTGTCATTATCTTATTGGACAGTTTAAATTTCAAACAGTTTTTTCATTTAATTAACACTTGACAACAATGCAAGTATCAACTAAAGTGTCAAAAATCAATGTACAAATAGTAAATTTCTAAAAAGATTTACAATAAACTTATCCACCAATGCGAAGAGTTTGGGAAAGACAACTAAAGTGGAAGAGTTTTGGGGAAAGTTAGGCACTCCATTGGACGTACTGCTCAAGTTGTGCAGTCCATCGAGATGAGCCTGAGGGTGAGGATGGGGAAGACAATTGGTGGAGGCGATTTGCAGTGACAGGTGGTGGTTGTGGGTCAGTAGGTTTGGTTGGTTGTGATTGGGTGGGGTGGGTGCATTCATTTAATTATTTTATATGGAAAAAATATAAATTTATCATTTTCTCGTTTTCGGAAATTCATTAAATTAAGGTACTTTTGATCAACTAGCGGATTTTTAGACAAAAAGTGTCAGAGGTCCTTCGATCACACAAGTTTAAAAGGTTGGGACTCACAATGCTATAAATTAAAGATTTGGATACATTTTTCAAAATTTTGGGGCCACAGCTGCAGTTATGCCTTTAACAATTCAGAAGACAAACAAAAAGACGCCGCCTGTTTTCTTGAAATCCTGTTGGGCCCAAAATTCCTACTCAAATTGCAAAAAGTATTTCAAATTTGGATTTACATGAACTACTGCTAGAAATTTCACTGGTGGAGAGAGAGAGTGAGGAGGGAGGTGGGTTGCCGAAATTCTTGGGCTAGTAGACTATAGAAAAAGGAAGCTGTGGGTGTTAGTGTTTGAATTTTTCTTGTAATGGGAGATGAAAAATCGGAAACTATGGTGGGGGTAATCGGGAATAGCAGTAGAGAAAGAGATCGAGAGCTTTTGATACCGGTGGCTGACTCCGTTGACCATCATCACCATCACCATCATGATGATTCGTCAGAAACCTCGTCTTCCGCTTCTCACCATAACACAGGCCGCGAGGTATGCTTCTATTTCTAGATCGTGTTGATGTGTTATGTTAGGGCTCAAGGAGGAGTTTTTTTATTTTTTACTTATTTTTGTTTATGGATTTTAAGGAATTATGTGTAAAATCGTTCATTTATTATTATATTTACAGAATTGAGACTGCTGAAGAATTAATTATTGTTGGGTTCATGTTGTTTTTTGTTTGGAATTTTGCTATCTCGAAATAGGATTATACTGCCAGCTTATTTGGTTAATCAAAGAATGAGGAGGGAGTTAATTTTTTTTCTTATGGTTGAATATCCATACATGCTGACCTTGGTGTGTTCCCTTGGATTACTCCTTGAAGAGATTGATTTCTCTCCAACTCAAAAATAGCAAACATAATCTAGCTGAAACAACTTAATTATGAGAATGAACAATTTCAATTCATATCTTGACATGTTGTTTTTCTTTTGCAATAAATGCAAGCAATTGGTTGCGAGTCGTGACTTAGTAGTAGGGCATTATAGCTTATTTTATCTACCCCTTTATAACTTCTTGTTTATTTTGGATAACAGTGGGCTCCATGGTCGTTTGACATGATGATATTTAATATTACTTTCTCATTAGTTGATCAAATGTGCCCATACTAGCTTCCACTTTCTGTGTATGTGTTTTTGCGTGCACATACAGGCGATGAGCCTTGTATTATCAATGTACATAAAAAATTCGTATGCAATTTTTCTTAGACCCCAAGGTCCCTTATACTTTATGCTTGAAGGTTTTTCAAGCAGAAACTTTCCGGCAATAATATGATTGTATTGTTTGTCCTAGAGGTTACATCTAAATGTCTACTGTGGTCTGAAAAATACTTTATTTGATTGATACTCAACAGACTTTTTACAAAGTTGTCAGGAGCTGGGCTTCGAAGAAGTTTATGACGGGGTGGTGAGCACAGTTATCTTTCTATTTATATGCTATTCTCTCTTTAGATTCTGAGCTTGAGATATAATTATTGACATTTATTTATTGATTCAACTGCACTAAATATAACTGCGGTTTTATACTTATTAGTTTAGCAGGCTTTATCTCATCCCCTTTTAATTTGGTTTACTTAACATAGACAAACTAATAGGAAATTATGTATTGATATTTGCAAGGAGAAAGTCAAAGCAAGCTTTGAGAATTATAAAAAACACAATTTCAATAAATTTGGAGATTCAAAAATATGTAAACATCACAACATGCTCTACAATATTTATTCTTGTACATTAGACTCGGAGCTAAATTAAGTCTTTTTTTAATCTAAAAGGAGATTACGACTCCTACGGTTAGCAATGGTTCTAAAGAGGTGGATACATTTTCAGCAGTTTGATTTCATCTTCTTTGGATTAGCGCTTGCTACAGTGGTACTGATATCAGTGCCTGGCAATTAGAACAAAGTCCATTCTTTAATCACAGTAATAGAAAAGGAAACTAAACCATGATATAATAAAGACCAGGTTCCTGTGTATGCCTTGCAACATAGTAAACCATGGCAATGATCCTCCAACATAATTGTCTAATGATTTTCTAAATTGGAATTGTTCCCACAGATTTGTCTTTCATGATAAAATTGCCAGACAAAACATATATTGATAGATTTTTTGTCAAGTTCTTTTAACTTATGTTTCTCGTGAATTTACTCTTCACTCTTTATGCTCTTTACTGTTGTAGCTGTTGCTTACTGTGTCGTTTTGCAGTGTCATCCTCTTCCCAATAGCTATTACATTCTATATAACGTGGTGGTTTATTCACTTGGTGGACGGATTTTTCTCCCCAGTTTATGTTCATCTTGGAATTGACATCTTTGGTAAGCTTATTCACCTTCATTTAATGCCCAAAATTACAACTATGATTCTTGTTTTGTATCCTAACCATTTTCAAGCTTGAATTATAGACATCTATTGTCATTTTTTGCTAACTTGAAAAATGAGCACATGGAATTTCAAAATAATCCAAGTATAATGTGGGTTTTGTTACTTTTGCAACTGTCATAATAGATTAATTGTGAATACTCCTTAACGTTTAAGATGAAACTCTTGTTCAACAATTATATATCCTGTGTCCGTTGGCTAATACTTGCTCCTATTTTCCGATTTAGGTCTAGGATTTGTGACTTCTATTACATTTATTTTCTTGGTTGGAGTATTCATGTCATCGTGGTTGGGGGCATCTGTTTTGAGCCTCGGGGAGTGGTTCATCAAGCGTATGCCATTTGTTCGTCATATTTACAATGCTTCCAAGCAAATTAGTACTGCTATATCTCCAGGTTTGCTTTTATTTATTTAAATAGTTTTTTCATCCTTTTTGGTTTTCTATTGCAATTTTTTCTCTCTGATTGGTTTCCTTTTATGGATGGATGAATATTTCTTTACAATGTTATTGCAGACCAGAACACACAGGCTTTCAAGGAAGTGGCAATTATAAGGCATCCGCGTATTGGTGAATATGCAATTGGCTTCATTACTTCATCCGTCACCCTCCAGGTGTGTGATTATTTTCATGCCTGATGCCAGGTTTTGGCAAAGCTTAAATAGAAGTCTTGATTATGAGGTCCGAATTATTTCTCTCTCTCTCTCTCATTTCAGAATTATACGGCAGAGGAAGAGCTGTGCTGTGTTTATGTCCCAACAAACCATCTTTATATTGGTGACATTTTTTTGGTCAATGCCAATGATGTCATAAGACCAAACTTGTCTGTCCGGGAAGGAATTGGTAAGAGTTCTTTTGCTCGACTTACCATAACTACATGCTATTTGTTAAAGGATGTCCTTTATTTCTTTCAAACAAACAAGTCTTTGCTAATATTCCGCCCTTGCATGCTAGCCACTATTTATATCAACGTTCTTCACTGAGAATCTCTTTTTACTATTTTCCACTATATTTTGGGTTTCTTTTATTGTGTGTACACTGTCGTTGGCTGAGTGGGGTTATATCGAGACGTAAGTGTCATGACATTATATTAAGGTCTAACATAAAGCGATGGTGCTTGAAGAGACCGAGTACGAACTTAAATATCGTACCTCGTGGATAATTGATACTATATATATTAGTTACTGTCGAATATCATCTGCCGGCTTTTGACTTTGTTTTTTGCTCACAGAAATTGTTGTGTCGGGTGGCATGTCAATGCCCCAGATACTGTCTACTTTGGACCCGAGAACTATTCAAGTGGATAGGAGTAGACCTAACAGAAGCTGAGATTGAAGGCATGGGATGTATTGCAGACAATTCAATGATATGTGCACAAGGTTTGCTTATCTAAGAAATTTGAATTTTCCGGCGTTACATTATATTCACATGATGTAACCATTGTCACAGTGTACATTGTAGGAATGTAGCGAGTGTGAGGAAATGTAGTTTGTTCGTTTTTCCGTACGAGGAGAAATAGTTGTTTAGTATTAAAAAGATCATTCTTTACACGTACTCCTATTGAGTTATAGTCTAGTAACTATTGAGTAATAGTTTGGTAACTCTTTTCTTGTGACTCTATTATTGCAATTATAGTTACGGTGAAATCTTTGGGATGTTGCGCAATGTTAAAAAACTTTGCCTGTTTGAGTCACATTATTCTCAAAAAATGCATTCTTAAACAGTGATTTGACATCATTTCAACCATACATTCTTCAATAAAATAATATTACATGCAAATCAAAAAATATTCCTTATTTTTTAATCACACATTCCCTATCAATACATTATTTAAGAATGCATCATTACCAAAATAATGTGGCTCAAACAACCCCCTTTATTTGATCATGGAGAGAAATGATATCCTAAACATTGTTGATTGACGTGGTACATTAATTAATTGGTAGATCATTAAGTTTTATGGGATCTAATTTAGGAGTGTAAGCGGTTTGGTTTTATTAATTTTTGACAAATTTTCAAATTAAAACGTTTAAATTGGTTTGACAAAAACTTAAACTCAAACTAAATTATTTTGAACGGTTTGAAAAAAATTTCAACTTAAACCTAACGGTTTGGTCTGATTTAAAATCGTCGGTTTTGTATATTTATATCTTACTAGCAATAAATTTAAAACAATTTAAACCGTTGTTTCAAGCAAATTTTTGGGACAAAAAAAATGAAAATTTGGATCATTATCGCACAAGTCTAATCACATTTGTTGACCTGTTGTTTCATGCGTGGGATTCAGCCTCCTTTTCAACAGTCAATTTTCTCATTATGATAACATGAAAATATAGCTCGAACAAGGGCTAAATATATTTACTATAACTTTAAATATTTACTAAATCAAAATGAAATCACAATAAACTAAAATATAGTTTTTTTTTGTTCATCTTTTTTAGGCTAATGACGTTATGATAACGTTACAATACAAGTCTCTAAACGAGATATAAGGCCCAAAAAAATCAATCCAACAAGACCTCGTGAATATCATATTTGAAAAAATGTTATTGATTAGACAGAGAATAACCAAGCACAATAATAAAGCAATTATTTATAATATCTAAATATAACAATCGCACAAGCTTACGTTTCTATGTTGTTATGAAACACATGTAATTTCAGATTCTTACGTCAATTTGCTAAAAAAAATTATTGATTTAAAACTTTATTCGTAGCAAATATTATTACCGAAGGCTTAGGATCTCTATCTCTGATTTGGTGTAATGGACTATAATTCAACTTTGAAGAGACGTAAAAAATTTGATGAAGTGTGTGTGGTGTCAATGACTCAAAACTGTGTCGGGTGTCGGCTGGAGTTCATCTGAATTCTGAAGAGGAAAATGACTTTTGATAGATTATGTTTGTTTTGAGATTGTTAGATATAAATTATGATTATTAGGTAATAATAATATATATGCATTAGAAAATTAAAAATTGACAAAAATACCCACAAAAGACAAAACTATTGAATTTTACATATTTGGATGAATTTTCAAAAAATTTCATTTTTTTCATTTTATATATTTTTTGCCGGTCCAATTTGATTTTAAACCACAATTAAAATTGGACAAATTAGGCCCAATACCCTTAAAAATGAACTAATGTGATTAATACTCTATTAATCAATTAAACAATTTAAAACCGTAATTAATACGTTATAAAATCCCCCAACCCCTGAACTCGCGCACACAATTTTTATCACTTTCATTTTCTCGTGGCTATGATCAACTAGTTAGAATAGGCCTCGGGCGTAGAAGAGAAACAGCCGGCCAATGCCGAAGTGGACGGGGAGTTCTCAGATGGCTTTTGGGAACACTAACCACCCTAATTCACCTTCTTAAGTCAGCCTTTGTGTTTCCGTAAATTGGCCAGCTAGCTCACTGAGTTGCTACCGTCAATGGTACTACATGGATCGTGCAATCGCCATCGAAAAGTTAGTGGCCAGAGACTGGCTCATGTAAAGAGTTCGCACCATTTCACTCATAAAATCCATTAATGCATTTTGATATTTTTCCAGTGATGGTAAGTTCATGCTTCACCGACTGTTCATCCATCGGAGCAAAATTTCTAGCGATTGAACATGCAGGTTAGCAGTCTTAGTAAGTGGATGCTGTAGCTGGCATGACACCAAGGCAGCTTTCATTGCGTCTAAAGCCTTCGCTGTCGCTTTTGGTAATATATTCCACTACGGCTCCAGCGATGACGATGGCTAAGTTATCTTGTCCGGCGATGTAATTACATCTATGTGAACGGGCTATTTTGGGAAAGTAAGCATAGAAGGAGAGTTCAGAGCACAATGAGTCCTCTCTCTTTTTGTCATTTTGGTGGAAACATTTTAGTGGCAATGTGATTAGGTTTGAACTTTATAATGTAAATAATTGACACTTATGATTTTTGATTATTTGGCTATTGTGATTGGGAATACATTTGAAAATAACATTGTTGAACTTGAGAAGAAATTGATTGTGTCAACACATATGAAAAATTAGTTTTAAATCAATTAAACTAATGCATCCAAGGTGTTTGACGAAAAGAAAATGTGAAAAAGTGACATTCTATTACTTTTTTAAAAAAAGTCACACTATCTCATTTGAACATTTAACTAGATGCATAAGTGTGTATTTGAAAAAAATTTGAACATACAAATGCAAACCTTGTTTTATGCTAACACATTAAAGATAGTTTTGAATCAATTAGATTAATGTATGCAATGTGTACGTTTAAGGAGAATGTTAAAAAGTGACAGAACGTCTCTTTTCTAAAAAAAAGTCACGTCATGTCATTGGAGCAATTAACTAAATACGTATGTGTGTGTTTTTTTAAAAATTTGAACATACAAATTCAAGCCTTGTCTTATATTAATGCATATAAAAAGAAAAACTTTGAATCAATTAGATTGATGCATGTAAGGCATTTGCTCAAAGAGAATGTGACAAAATGTGTCACTTTTTTATTTTCTATCACTTTTTTGAATCTGTATAACTTTTTTTTTTTTTTTTTAATTTGTCATTTTTTAAAATTCGTCAATTTTTTTTTTTACCTTTTTTTTAATTTGT